CACACACACACACACACACGCATGCAACCACATGTATGCACTGATGACCACAAGAGAACACATCCAAGTACCAATATGCAGATGGAGCAGGGAGGTTAGCTTTGCATAACAGACTAGAAGCAGAGAGAAACAGCTAGCCTAGCTCCAACCCTGCTCAGTCATTAACATGCGCTGTGTTTCTTTAAGTGGTAAACCAACGTTAATGCAAAAACAGATGGAGTCGTAATGGAACTATTCTTTGTGAAAAACAAAGTGTACCTTTCTTCAGCAGGATGGCGGTAGCGTCACAGCCATCGTCTAGCTCGCCGTTATTGGCCGTTCCGTTCCTCAAACTGGTCGAGTTCTTCTTCCGCCTCTCCAGAAAACGAACAACGTGGGAGTTCATCCTGAAACAAAGGTCAGGTCAAATCCAAATCTCTTCCAACATTTATATACAGTAGAAGTGAAATGGCTTTAATCAAAAAATATGTTGCAACTGTTGGACAGTGTTGTTTTATTAAACCTGAAGTCTGCAACTGATTTATCGTGTTCAATACACTGATTATCTGCAATTAATATTTGATGTTCCAACGAACTTTAATTTTGTGTTGTAATGTTTCCGAGCACCAGAGTCCCTTCTGAAAACCTAAAACAAATGCAGTAGGGTCAGACAGTCCTGGTTCTGGGTCTCCCGTGTCTCTCTTCCCTCTAGCGGGTCCACCAATATGGGGGCGGGGGGGCTGCAGGAGCTTGAGGAGTTTCTGACATGTCAGAGAGAGACATGTCAGAGAGAGACATGTCAGAGAGACATATCAGAGAGAGAGACATATCAGAGAGAGAGACATGTCAGAGAGAGAGACATGTCAGAGAGAGACATGTCAGAGAGAGAGACATGTCAGAGACATGTCAGAGAGAGACATGTCAGAGAGAGACATGTCAAAGAGAGACATGTCAGACAGAGACATGTCAGACAGACATGACAGAGACATGTCAGAGAGAGAGACATGTCAGAGAGACATATTAGACAGAGACATGTCAGAGACATGTCAGAGAGAGATATGTCAGACAGAGACATGTCAGACAGACATGTCAGAGAGAGAGACATGTCAGACAGACATGTCAGACAGACATGTCAGAGAGAGACATGTTAGAGAGAGACATGTTAGAGAGACATGTCAGAGAGACATGTCAGAGAGAGACATGTCAGAGAGACATGTCAGAGAGACATATCAGAGAGAGACATGTCAGAGAGAGACATGTCAGAGAGACATATCAGAGAGAGACATGTCAGAGAGACATATCAGAGAGAGACATGTCAGAGAGACATGTCAGAGAGAGACATATCAGAGAGAGACATGTCAGACAGACATGTCAGACAGACATGTCAGAGAGAGACATGTCAGACAGAGTCATGTCAGACAGAGACATGTCTCTCTCTGACATGTCTCTCTCTGACATGTCTCTCTCTCAGACGCTGTGATACCGATGGGAAACAACTGTTTTTAAGAGTTGAAACCGTGTAACAAATGAAGCTGCATCACTTACTTCATGATCAAAATGTAGACGAAGTACATCAGAATCAAAGTGAGAGCTTCCCACCTGGAAAACACACAGTTTGGATCAATTTACAACGTGAAGTATTTTGTAAATTGCTCGTTAATTCTTGTGAATCATTTGAAACAGTCCAAATTTATTCAAAGAAAAGCTGACTTACCAAACCACTTTTTCGTCATATATGAACTGTAAAATGGGAGAACGTGACAGAAAAGTGAGAATGATAGATGTGAACATGGAATTTCATTCAGCTGTTTAAATCACACATTTCAAAATATATAATCTTATTTCTCCACCCGCTCCAGGATGAGTGTCTATATAATGACAATAATAATAACTTTATTTATATGAACAGACAAAGCAGCAAAATCAAGAGCATAAAACAACAGAAAGCTCAAGAGTGAGGCCCAACAAAGCACTGAAGAGTTCAGCTTCAGTAGATGAAACAACAACACAAATCGATAAAAATGAACTCATAAATAAAATAAAAGCATTGAGACAAATAAAGTAATAATATCAATAATAAGATATGACTGTGTTTAGGTTACGTGAAGCTGTTCCTTACCACTAGAAGAGCAGAGATGGACAGTGTGTAGTATGTAGAGTCTCTGATCAGAGGCCAGCGGGTCAGATGTATCATCTGGGAGAGACAGACAGGCAGAAGGAGTGAGACTATGCAAAAACTTGCAGATACTGAACTACATTTCTTTTGTCCTGTTGAGTAACACATCCCACAAGGAAGATAACCCAAACCCTGTGTGTGTGTGTGTGTGTGTGTGTGTGTGTGTGTGTGTGTGTGTGT